CAAGAGGAGCCGACCTGCGTGGGAGCAGGTTAAGTGACTCCTTGGGGAACGGGGGGGGAGGTTCTTTCCCAAACAATTGAAGATCGTCAGAGAAATTATGGAAATTGTTGTTCCTTCCTGATATTTGTAAGACTGTTCCAATAAGTTCATTGTGATCCAGCTCTTAATGAGAGAAAGATGAATAGAAATACTTTGCATGCACATCATATTCAAAGTAATGTTAGAACAACTGTTAGTATTTCTGACTTAAGCGCTTGATTTTGCAGCTTTGTCATTGTCATAGTAGTATTAAATATGCAATTTCCAACCTTAAAGAGAAGATAGAAAAGGTAACTCATGTATAACTTGGTACCTGTTCTGGCACAGCCTACATGTGATTCATGTTGAAGCATCTACCTGAGTGACTGACCATACGGAAAATATATTTATGTTATACTGAACATATTTATGGAGTAAAAAGGAAACGTTATGCACAGTATGGAAGTTTTACGTGGTCATTTTGTTCATATACCAAAGCAAGACACTCCCTCACCCTGGTTTGAAAAATTGTTCCGGTTTATAACTAGTTTGAAGCATCTTGATTGTAGCTGATATGGTGTGATTCAATGTAGTTGTGGATTTGTTCAATGTGAACAGGGAAGAGAATGATTTTGACACCCTCATCTTCCTTCTGTTTCTGCTATGTGAATCAAACAGCTGAGTGATGTGCCTTTGATCAGAGATGGCACATAAAAATTTCAATCCCTGACACTTGTAGAAATGCATGAGAGCTCATGAAAATGGGGAGAGATGACAAGATTGAAGTTAGTGTTACAGCAAATGACTTTACATGTATGCCATAGATGTCAAGTGCTATTTACACAGAAATAAAAAAAAATAAATTGCAGTGGAAAATGCTTAATGTAATGAATCATTGAGTTTTAAATTTTAAAAGTATTTATTTTTACTAATGATTAGAGATGAACATTTTTCACTTTAAATAAAAAAAGGAGTTTCAAGTGCTCTTTCTTTTATGTAGGTAAAGAGGAAAGTAGGTACTCTGAACCAAAGGCCTGCCAAATAAAAGCTTTCCAGTAAATCTTTTAAGAATAGCAGGAGACTATTCTTAGAAGATATTTCAGATGGTTTGAATTTTACTTGTGATTACCAGCTTGTGAATAGCTTATATTCCAAAAGTATTTTCCGTAATAAATGCAGAACCATCAAATTCTCTACTGCTTTTTCATGAGTAAGGTCATGCTATGATGAAAAACTGGTACTGCTTTCTGATACTGAAGTGCTAATATTTTCTTGATACTGGGCATCCTAAGAGCCCAACTGAAAGGCAAGCAAACACGGTATATTTTAATTAACATATAAGTATATGAATTGTTTGAAATCAAAATTGATTTTTGCTATTTTTTCTTTTCGATGGCAATGACATTTTAAATCTCAAAGAGCCATTACAAGTGAAGGTTATAGTCAAAAGCGTTTAAGTGAAAATGGATGATTTGACATCTAGGAGCAACGGCCTCCTCTAGACTTCGTGCTTATACAGGCTGTGTGTTTGACAGCACTGAGAGCATGCTGCTTTAAAACTTGCAGATTAGTTATGGAGCTTTTTTAGATTGTCTTGTCATTTTTTCTTGCTCATGTAGAGAATTGTGTCCACAAAGGGCTTTTCTTGTAATTGTTCTGTGTGATGGTGTTTCTAGTTCTTGTTCTAGAAGATCAGGATTTTGGATTTCTTTTGGGGGAGCTTTCACATTTACTTTTCACAGAAGTCCTACAGATTCTTGTATGCACAAGATTAGTGGTTAATGAGGATTTTTTCTGAAGATAGAAATTTGAAGATAACTTGGCGGGGGGCAGGATGACACACAGTGACGGTGTATGTAAAGAATTGTATTTTACTATATATCTTTTGTTTGTAGATAGTTAATGCATTTTGACAAACTCAGAGCAGTTTTGAGTTACATGAACAGTTCTTCAGCTTGTATGCCTGAAATGTGGAGTTATCTGATTTTTAATCAGTTCAGTTTGGAGGAGTTCCGCTTAGAACCACATCTTTTATGATCTGTAAGCCTCTAACATGGGGACTTGATAGAAAAGTTTGTCGTTTCTAGACAGTGGGCTCATTCTGAGGGAGTATTCTGGAAAGGTTGGATTTCCCCATTTGATAAAATCATATTAGAATATGTTTCAATCACTGCTGCCTGCTCTGGAGCTGTAGAGTCCCTCTCAATTCATCTCTGGTGAGGGACCTAGTTAACAACACCTATTGTATATTACAGGTGAAATATCATTTCATGTTGAAGGGTAAGTGGACCTTGCATTTGCATTCCCAGTCACTACTACTAAGGATGGATTTGTTCCCTCTAAAATCCAAAAGAAAACTGTTCTCAGCCTGTCTTGTGTTAGCTGTTTTCCTTGGTTGTTACTTCTAGTATGGGTTATACTGCATTTTGTTGACATTCTTAGTATTTTTTTCTATATAAAATTGATGTTTTGGGAAAGTTGAGAAATAACTTGGTTGTTTTTTCTTTCTTTAATAGCATTTTACTTGAATTCTGGGTTCATACAACCTGTGAATGATGGTTGGGTTCAATGATGGACAAAGCGTAAACTTAGAGTTAGTACGGCTTCCTTTTGCCTTTTGTGATGATTTTTCAGTCCGCTTTTGCGGAGTGACTGGTTTGTAATGCTTGTGGTTAAATTAGTTACAGTTGTTCCACAGAAGCTATTAAAGCTTTGTTTAACATATAAATGAAAAGATTTGATAAATAGCAGAGATGAGGAGAAAGGTGTTTATTCTGTTTCTTAGAGTGATGCATCTTAAATGCCAGCAGGTGGTCTATTCAAAACTAATAGTACTAGTTGCTTTTAGTAAGCCATTGTGCAAAGCAAGGGCTCTGTTAATTCCCTGTCCTTATGGGCACAAGTGATTAGTAGGAAATAGTGACTTTGATGTTGAAGGATGTCATTACTGGAAACCCGTTACATGAAACTTTATATCAAATGTTTTTATTATCCATTTCATATGTGTATATATAATTAGAAAATTTAACATGCTGTGCAGATTCAACTCCTTTGCTGTAATAGAACTAATCCCCCCAGCATTACTTGGTTGGTTTACGTGGTTTTGGCAATTGTTACTAATGTAGTCACACAGCTATAAATTTGGTTTTTAAGTGAGTTGAGAAATCATTTAACTTTAAAATCAAGTTGGTTGATTTTAAACCCTTTTGCAATCTCATTTTTTGCAAATTCAGTATAATAGATTAGCATAAACACTAATGAGCATTCAAAATCATTTATTCCAGTTAAAATCCATTCTGAATGGGTTATAAGCAAAACATATTTTAAGCCTGCTTATTGTATGAAAATACTCTCACTGCTGTTCAGCAGAGCAGTTAGGTGTATGCATGTTAGTCATACAAGTACACAAAAATTCAGCTAGACTCTCTGGTCGAAAGACAGCATCGAGAAAACATATATTACAAAGAGCATAAAGCATTCAATCTGTGTTTACGATGTTTAGCAGATAATTTATTAAATTCAGGCATAAAATTTTCATTCAGCTTAAGTAAGCCAGAGATGGATGTCATTATGAGACTTACATACCATTAGCTCACATCAATTGATTAGCAGTCGAGCTCTGTGGTACAAGGCTAGTAAGATAGATAATTATTTGTGATGCCAGGAGGCTGCAGGTCAAGGAGATTTACTGGCTGCATGCTCATTTCCTTTGCTTTTGTGATCACTTGATAAAATGAAGTGCATCACTGTGAACAATTGACCCTTTTGAACAATCCAGACTGGTCAGCAGTCTAAATCCACATTTTAAAGCCATCATTATAGCCTCAAACTTAAGAGTTTCCAGGGTGCAGACAAAGGTGTTGTCCTCCTTCAGTACCAGTCGTGTACCGTTTTCAGACTTTATGAAGTACTTGAATTGAATAATATTTGAAGATACTGAAAACTCCTCCGGAAATCCATCCAGCCTGCTTTTGGACACCAGTACAATTCTGGATTTTATTTTTGCAATGAAATCAGGAGCATTGCAAAAGATTCTAAGTCCTTGAGAACGGTCGTGGCTGTCAGTGATTTCCAGGAAAGTAGTCTCTCGAGATGCTAGCTGTTCCTTCTCCCACCTCGATTTCACTGCGTCCGAGAGTACCTTAAGCTGGAAAAAATCTGCTTCTTGTGCCAAAAGTTGATTTTCTCGAAACCCTTCTGGTAGAAGAAGTTCTCCATTTCGTAGGAAGTTGAGAATGTGTCTGAAAAGCAGTCCATCTCTGTCTATGAAGTAATGACCATCTGCATCGAATGGGCACATTATTTTTCCATTTATGATCCCTTCCAGAAAAGAGTCTGGATACTTGGTTAGTGTCTGTTTTTGTGTGATATATAGATAGCCACCAACATTCAGAGTAATCAGAGACGTTTTATAGTCCTTGTCTTGCTCAGAGCCTTCAGAGTTGCTGTGTTTTTCTTCGCATTCCTTTTCTCTTCTGTTTATTTTTCTCTCCATTATCAAAGCTAGGACAAAAAGCCAGCTATCTTGCTTTATTCTTCTCAGCTTGCAAAGAGATTTTTTTTTGAAAAAGCACCTTTATTCAGCTCCGGCACGATGTTGGAATGGAAATGCTGCTAGCATTGCTCCGACTGTCAGCTCGGGTTTGCAGTAGGTGGCGTATCAGCTGTGTATGCAGGGAGATATCAGGAATATGACTGTAAAGGAGAATTTGCATTTAACTGTATAAGGGAAGAAGGGTATAGCAACTGTCTCTTTCTTTCCTCTAAGTCTAGGAAGTTTACATAGTTTGGGCGTTATTCACAGTAATGCATACTACTATTCTAAATGACACCTTATTTTTAATACTTTAAGATGTATACGTAGTATCAGCTGGCCAAATCGTGTTTAGTACCTATGGTGTTAAACAGATAGCTTCATTTATGTTTCAAGGATTTTAATTTTCACAAAGCGTCTTTTCACATGTTTTTGGTACCGATTACAGTACCTGATGCATACAGCAGGACGACACTGAAAGGAAAGGTGTTCTTGTCTGTACAAGGGGGGTGTCGTCCGTGGAGCGTATGCGCATACATATTCCTCATTTATCGGACACGTGTGCAGTGGTAAGATGTTTTCACCGGAGATAAGCTGGAAGCAGTGCTGAGGGCTGGATGCTCTGACTGCTTTAAGTTTGTGGTGAAAGCTTCCATTTGCGGTCGATGGGAGCATCCGCACCAACACAAGAACTACAGCCTGATTCGGTGTCACTTTTTGCCTTTCTCTGTGCCATAGACAAAAACTATTTTAGAGGGGGGGATTTACTATTTATATCGGTGATGTTTTTCAAGTCACCAAAGCTGTCTGGCATCAGTTTGTTCTTTCTCGATGGAAACAACTCAGCTGCCCTGCAGAACAAAGGGTTAGTGTGCCTACAGATAGCTTTGAGCATCACATAACATTACAGCTTAGCAACACTTGAGTATGGCAAGGGGGGGGAAACATCGGCAGAGCACGCTTGAATCAAATGGCTGTCTTCTCTCCATGAATCTGTGCTTGGAGGCTCTTAGAAAAAGGTTTCCCCTTTAAACATTTGCAGCTTGGAGCAGGAAAGGGAAAGCTCGCCACGCATCTATCTCTGTGTGTGTTTCCTTGGGGAGCGGAGGGAGCCGCAGCATGCATTCCCCAGCACCGGCGGGAGCGAACGCTTACCTTGGGCTGGACCCAGAGAGGAGGTCCCATCTTTTTCAAGATGTGTTTTTCATTTTACAGGTAGATGTCTCCAGCTTTGCCCGATTAGCAGTGAAAAGTCAGATTATTCTTCTGTCAATTCTTCTGTGCTATTTCTAAATATTTTATTCCTACTGCTCCCACTGTCTCTAAGGCTGTTTATTGATACTGTAGCATCATCACTATAATATTTTATTAATTGATAACTGAATCTAGTAGGAATAAATGCACTCCTTTTTACTCGCTATTCTCCTTGCCAGTGTAACCCTAGCACTGATATGCTAAATTTTTCTGCTGCTGTATGTGATATATTAAGCAGATATTATTCATTAGATTTGATTTATCAGGATTTAGTCATGGTTTTCATTTTAACTCTTTGATGCCATTGATATGTTTAGCATAACTTCAGTCAAAGCGATTTCAATCAGTTTCTAATTTTTAAACATTTGGACTTTTTTCAAAATTAACTCCTTTCACAATTATTGAGTGAATAGTTGAGAAAATGAAAGAGCCAATTACTTTCAAATATGATTTTTTTTTTTGCCATTACAGGAAACATCCATTCAAATTTAGTTTCTCTTCAAGTGATGGAAAATCCAGTTAATGTACTTAGGTCGTGCTTAGCTACAGTGTTGAACCATCTTAGTGGCTGTTAAACCCTAAGAGAATGATTTTTGTGGTGCTTTCATCTTACACAGTGACCTTGGAATACTTTGAAGCTGCACTAGGAATGTCCTGGCACAAGTAAGTAGGGATTTCCAAGGAGAGCTGGGATTTGTAAAAGAGATGAAATTTTTCATGGCCAGCTAAGCTGTCTACATTTTAAGAGACAGCAGTTACAGAACAGTATCTGCTCACCTAGTTTTTCATGCTCATCGTCTTCTCAATGTTCTAACACTTGCAGTTGAAATTTTCCACTTTTGTGAACAAGTAAGTATTCTTTGAAATATCGTGCAAAGTCATTTTAGTGGTTTGTATGATAAAATATTCAAAATCGATTTGATGTGGAAAATATACTCTGTGGAGATCATGAATATTTACATTTAAACTTTTGAGACTTGAAAAATGTAGAGCTGCTGTAAAATTTTCATCACCACAAACGCATGTAACTTTACTTCGCTGCAGCTGACAGTCATCTGTAACACAAAATTAAAGCCTGGCACATCTTTGTGAAAATTTTCCACTTTCTGTGCCGTACTACGAGACAACTTTTCCAAAGAGCCCTCGTTCTTCCTGTGCACTTGGTGATACATATGGTATTGCAGCTCATGTAGTTTTAGTGGGGTGGTTTTATATAGCTCGCTGTTTTCTGAAGGTGGAGCTATGCCTAGAGGAACTGGATTTCTGTTTTTCTGTCCTTTTGTCCACGTACTGAAAGATCACCCGAAAGTTAATTTTGGTAAAGGTGTGCAAGTATTTCTTGCAATCAGATCAGAGACTTTGACCGTTCTGGTGCTCTGAGCGTCTTTGTGTTGTGCACCAGGCGTGTGATAGCTGAGATGTGCCCCGTGCATCCCGGATCTTCTTGCTTCCCACTTGGATTGAGACAGAGCAACTTGCTACCGTGTGCTCTCCCATGCCGTGAGCGAACTGTCTGTTTCTGCCCCATCCAGCTGAAGTATCCTGCTTGCAGATGTTGGTAGCTAGCAGTCCTGAAGTGACTGCTGCTTCACAAATTCTTAGTGTTGCCTGTATGCTGGGATTGGCCATTCAAGTAAGGAGTGGCGCTGGAATCCAGCAATTGAAAGGATATTGGCTTGGTTCCAGATTAAGTCAGAAAATATACTGAGCACTCTTGCACACACGTAAGAGTGGCTGTAGTAGTACTACTCCATTTCCAAGTTACTCTCCCTTTGGGCTGCGCCAGGAGGGCAATCCACAGCTTTTCAGTTTCTTCTTGGTCAGACGAGCCATCCTGGAGACAGTGAAAATGCAGTGCTGGTGCCTGTCAGCTACACAGGAACACAAATCCAAGGAGGAGGGGGCTAGGCATCTGCCCCTCGTTCTGTCCTACATGTTTCCTTTTGGAAGATAACCTCACTCCTCCTCAGCTTCCATCCTTCTCCTGAACCTCCTGGTCTTGGAAGCTTGAGCACGCCATGGAGCTGACGATTTGGGACTAGAGCACACCGCAGGGAAGTTGGTGCTTTACCAATGGTTCAGCTTACTCATGTGTCCAAACAGCATCAGCTTCACTGAGAGTCTGCTGTTGGTGAAAATGACCTGGGTTACAGAAAACAGCTACTTTTATTTATTACAGTACAAAAGGCTATGAGGAGAAATACCAGCTTTAAGAGGTAGAGAATTTTTTAAGTGTATTAGGAGGCCATGCTAATGAAATCTGTTTGGGTTATCGAGGCAATTTGCTAGTCATTTAATGTCATAACACAGAAAATTGGCCAGGTTGTTGGACAATTAAACCACTCAATAGCTACTATCTCACAGTGTTGATAGCAGAGACATTCTCATTCCAGTAACAACTCCAGGATGTTGATTAACAGCTATTGAAGACAAGCTCTACACACTCATTAAAATTGAAGATTTTCAAATCAGCAAGTCTGAACAATTTGCATTCAAGAGTTTTAAAAGAGCTGTCTGAGAAACTCTAACAACAGTTGCTGTTGATATTTTTAATACTTTTTGAGCACTGCATTTCTACAAGACTGAAAAAGCAAATGATGTGCCCGTATTTGAAAGGTGAATTGGATGGCCCAGGTATTTAAAAACGAAAGGGGACTGTACGAAAAACAATACATCTGACTTGGAAGTCAATCAGTTAAAAATTAAGGGAGAGTAATATAATACTAATCAATGTGGGTGGAGGGAAAATGGATTGTGCCAAAGTCTTTTCTCTTTTTTGGTTACAATTTGTTCAGCAAAGCAGGTGATGCTTTCTTCTGTTAAATCTTGGAGTATGTCTCATTTGTTATTTTGAATTAGTGTTCGTACTATGTACTGTATTAGTTTCCGTTTCATTTAACTATACAAAAATTATCTGCCGGCTTCAAACTGGCAAACGGGAAGCAGAGAATTATCACTAAAATGTTGCTGTGTTTTGGTTCTTGGTCCTATTTATTTTTAGTCAGTGATCAAGGAGGAGATAGTTACTGATGAAGTTTGGAGATGATACAGACTGTGAATGTAATCAATAAGGAGATACATTGCTGATGCAGAACCATTTGGATAGTTGGTTAGGATAACATTTTAATATGACCAATATGAAGTTTATATGCCCAGGAATACACTGTAGGTGGGGTTTGTTGTACATATGTTTGCAGGAAGGTTACTCCTATGTGTAATGCGTCATTGACAACTGAACATGAGGTCGTAGTCCTGTGCGGTGGTCAGTAGAAAAATGTAGTGTGTCTCTTTGGATGCCTAATAAGGGAATGCCAAGTGAAGATGGGGCAATCCTATTCTCTAGCTGCGTAGCTACCAGGGAAGGGTGGTCCGAGAAGGGCGCTAGCTTTGAGGCTGCCCTTTGCATGGAAGAGAGGTGCCACAGAATGCCTCTGGTCTGGGAGAGCGGCAGAGCCGAGGTCTAGTGTAGGAGGGGGCTGCTCCTTGTCCGGCTGTCACATGCAATAGCCTGGGAAGCTGCACAGAGGTATAAGTGGGCAGCGGGAAATACTGGGACTTCCAGCTTGGATGCTGGGAAGCAACAGCCCAGCTGCTACCTGCTGAGGAGCTGAAGGCACACGTGCCCGTCGTCTGTCCTTGCTGCACTTTCTTCCACTTTTTTCTGCTGCTCGGGAATCGTACGTCTTGAGGCAGCTCTTCATCTCCTCCTTCCCTGGCACCGCTCATAAAGAGCAGGAGCTGGTAAACTCCAGATCCTGTCCCACATGCTGTCCAGTCTGGCTGTGAGAGACAATGTCTCAGGAGAGACGTTCATGAACTCAACTTTCTCAGGTCAATAAGAACGATTAAGAAGCTGAAAAATAGGCGTAATGGAAGATTCAAGAAAACATGGTTTATTTTTATTAGGCTTGATAAAGGTGGAGAGTACATAAGTGCTTGGATGGGCAGAAATGCTTTCATAGCAGGCTCTTCAACTTAGCAGTCAATGCTCTAACAAGACCCAGAGGCTGGAAATTGGAGCCGGGTGCAGTCAGACTAGAAAACTAACACATTAAATTCTCCAAGGCTACCCCCCCTATTTTCTCCCCCCCCCCCCCCCCCCCCAAAAAAACCCCCAAACCAGCCCCTATCAGACCATCATCTGCACAATTCCAGTAAATTTCCCCAGTGCCTGTTTAAGCGTTTTAACCACATTCTGTTCATTTGCTGGTGATTGTCAGCAGGATTTGAAGCTGGAATCGGCATCTCCCCAGCATAATTCCCTATCATCTCACTGAAAAAGTCAACAGTTGAGATTCCATTATGAATTGGCACCGGGGCATTCAGGCGGGGAGGTTGGGGTGAGCATGCATTTGGCAGCTAATGATGAAGCTATGGGTTATGTAGACCAGCCTGTCCAGAGCTGCACTCACAGTGTACTTGTATCTGCCACCCCACATAGGGCAACGGAGAGCGTAAGACACTTGGGAAAATGTCTGTTTTCCCTTCTAATTATTGGTCTTAGCTAGTCTTCCAGACCTATTCATTTACCTTGTACTGTCTGCTTTATTTTGAGTAGGTATTTTTAACAGAGATTTGCCACTTTCATGCCTTATTCATCCTTTGGCTTCTAGGCTGATGTGACTATGGAAATACCAAGGCAGGCATGTAGCACTTTGGATGTCTTTTCATTACAGCTCTGGTCCTGCAATAAGTGAAGACAGACCCAAGTCTCTCAACTTGAGTTTGGTGAATGAGAGCTAATTAGGCTGCAAAGGGAGTAAAAAATGTGTTCCCCTGCTACAGTCTTGCAGCCGGAGGTTTGCGTGCATCTTTGCAGATTTATTCTGCGAGGCTCTCTGGATGTGTTAAAATCCCCAAGAGGGTCCAGGGGAAGTGGGACTTAAGCCTTGGCTTTTGGACAGTGGATGAGCTTTGCCAGCAGACTAGCTTAGGTCAAGGTGGTGTTCTTGGAGACTGCG